TCAGCTCACCTAACTTGATGTTGCCTTGTGCTGTCAACAGGATGTTTGCACCCTGAGAAAAATTTTAAGGTAATGTAGATAAATATTATATAATAAATAAATTATTTGTAATACAGCCCCTTCCTCCCACAAAAAGAAAAAAAAAAGAAAAACAAAAAAAATCAAACAAACAAACAAGCAAATGACATTCATCTCATTTTTGGATAAAAGAAGATCATGCCCTGTTTCTTTTCTGTTGATGGAGTTTCTTTTTGTTTTATTCATGACAGCGTGTGGTATCTACCTTGATATCACGGTGCATTAAGTTCTTCTCATGGAGGTAGGCAAGACCCTGTGGTACAGAGAAAGAGAGATTTTTAACCCTTTACACCCTAACATCAGTATGCAAATTCTCCATTCTGTTCGCTACACATTTCCTAAGATACAGATAAGGAGAACTTATTTAACAATCAAGATTTTCTTTGGTTGGTGATCATTTCCTTTATTCTTGCGATCTTTATATGTGACTCAGGGGTAATACTGTTGGGAGAAATTCAATGTTAATCACTCTTAAGGGTCATGTTAAATCCATAAGTCAGTATCTATGTTCTCCATACTGTTTTCTTTATATTTCTTACAATACTGACAAGGAGAATCTGTTTTACAATCAAGAGTTCCTTCATTGGTGATTATTTCCTTTTATTCTTATAATTTAAATGTTTTATTTAAGGCTGACACTGTAAGGAGAAGTAAGATATTGATCACTCTTAACCCTTTACCTCCCATGAGTGACTAGGAGAGAATTTCTCCTTACAATATCAATACAATATCAAGCATAGAAGTGATGAGAATAAAGAAATATATCAATTAGGGGATTATTGGTTGATTCGATACTATATTCTCCAAATTGACATCATAATAATAATATAGCAGACAGTAAAGAGAATTACTAATGAGATCTTGGTAGTTAAAGGGTTAAATGTTTAAGAGGTTAGGGGTGCTTCTTTCCAGGGTCTTGTGTGCATGACCGAAATAAATTGGAGAAACAACCTACCTTCAGAGTTTCAACACTAATAAAAGAAATCTGAGGTTCACTACATGGTCCAGTAACTGAATGGAAAATAAAACAAATAAAAACTATTAATAATTTTTAACAGTTATGATTCCAGGGAGGAGGAAATATTAGGTTTTTTTTTTTTTCAGGGCAACTTGTCTGACAGCAACATTCTGGCAACAACAAGATTGTACAATTGCTAATTGGTAAATGGTAAATACAATTTAGTTGTTTTGAAATATTTCTTAGCTTACTTAAACTATGGTGATAAAAGTCTGTGTTTTCTGAAACAAAGCATGCACACCCTTATTACAAATTCCTGTGTCTGCTCCTGATTAAAATATGATTTTTCAGTCAAGAAAAAAGTTGCCCTGTGCAACTGATAGGTACATGACTTGAATGTAAATTCATAATTATTACTAACCACAATAAATGTCCTGTGCTGATCCTGCCCCACAGAACTCCATTGCTATCCATAGCTTGTCTCTCCTAGAAACACAAAAAGGGTCATTTCACAATATTGCACTGCACAACCTTATTGTGCATAATTTCACAAAAATCGGATCTTTGACACATAGTTACCACTTTGCAAAGCTGAATATCAGAAGTGGAAACTTCTATACCCTGAAAATGTGTTTGAGCCAGTTTAACCCTTTAACTCCCAAATGTGATCAACATGAAACTTTTCCTTGTAATATCCATGCACTATTCAGCAAAAATGTAATGAAAATATTCAAACTTATCAGGTAGAAGCTGCTATCCTGATCTAGCACCAAGTTCTCAT